TGCACACATCTGTCCTCCATCATGCACACATCTGTCCTCCATCATGCACACATCTGTCCTCCATCATGCACACATCTGTCCTCCATCATGCACACATCTGTCCTTCATCATGTACACATCTGTCCTCCATCATGCACACATCTGTCCCCCATCATGTACACATCTGTCTTTCATCTTGCACACATCTGTCCTCCATCCTGCACACATCTCTCCTCCATCTTGCACACATCTGTCCTCCATCCTGTACACATATGTCCTCCATCCTGTACACATCTGTCCTCCATCGTGCAGTCCCAGTTTCGTAGGGCACGTCTAGCAGGTCGCAGAGACCGTCGAGCGTAAGAGGTATAAATGATTATGTGAAGAGATCACTTCACATAAGTGATAAAATGTCCTCGAGTTTTCACTCTAAATGCAGTAAAGTGGTCTGCGGAGTGTCACATTCCTCATTGGTGACACAGAGTGTCTGTGATTGGCTGGATTGCGGGTAAAATGAACGATGAGTGTGAGTGCGGGCGATAAGACAATCGCTCGAGGAGTCGGGTGAACCAAAGGTATATAAGGCGGCGCGGGCGCGGCTTCTGTCACTCGCGGTCACGCGGCGGACGTGGCGTGTTGCGTGTTGTGTGTCTGTTCTGGTGCCCTGGGTCGCGGGTTGTTCCCTAACGCAAGTGTTAGTTGTCATATAATCCTAAGCGGTGGAAACAGCTAATGTGTTGCGATCACATTTTTGGTTTACATTTCCAGGAATGATTCCTGCTATTAAAAGTCACCAAAAGTTATTGATGTCATTGATTCAGATACCAATCTCTCCCAAAACCTGAATTTTATTAGAATATTTGTTATTCACTCCGACTGTGCATTGTCAGTTGGTGTGGGCTGAATATACGAGCTGAATATTCGTGCTGAATGTACGTACTGAATGTACGAGCTGAATATACGTGCGTGCTGAATGTACGTGCTGAATACACGAGCTGAATATACGAGCTGAATATACGTGCATGCTGAATATACGAGCTGAATATACGAGCTGAATATACGTGCTGAATGTACGGGCTGAATGTACGGGCTGAATGTACGGGCTGAATGTACGGGCTGAATATACGAGCTGAATATACGTGCTGAATATACGTGCTGAATATATGAGCTGAATATACGTGCTGAATATACGTGCTGAATATACGTGCTGAATATACGTGCTGAATGTACGGGCTGAATGTACGGGCTGAATGTACGGGCTAAATATACGAGCTGAATATACGTGCTGAATGTACGGGCTGAGTATACGATCAGAATGCACTAGCTGAATATACGAGCTAAATATACGAGCTGAATATACGAGCTGAATATACGATATTATACCGGTTTGTCGAACTCTCACTCTCCCTCTCCCCCCCTCCTGTGCAGCACGTAATCACATCACCAGGCCGCTAACAATCACAAAGACTCTGCCAATATTCTTGCATCGCAGCCAATAACGGCGCCAATACCGAGACTTAGGTAAACTTTTATATACGAGACAGGTTACTCACTAGATACGAGACAGGTTACTCACTAGATACGAGACAGGTTACTCACTAGATACGAGACAGGTTACTCACTAGATACGAGGCAGGTTACTCACTAGATACGAGGCAGGTTACTCACTAGATACGAGGCAGGCTACTAGTGCAGCAGCAACAATATGCTGGTGAAGCTAGTGCTGCTGGCCGCCATGGTGGTGGGGGGCGCGTGGGGGTTCCTGGGGCGCGGGGGTTTGCTGGAGGGCTATGGGGATGTGCTGGGGGTTGTGTGCCCCCAATTTGACCCCCGCACCCCCGCCTGGGACCACGTGGCCATCACGACGGAGGGGGCGACCCGTGCCCTCGTGGAGCTCTTCCAGGTGGGTCACCCTGACCCTTATATTGACCTTGACACTTACCCTTACCTTAACCCTCAACCTTACAATAACCCTGACCCTTATATTGACCCTGACACTCACTCTGAATCCTTACAATGACCTTGACACTCACTCTGACCCTCACACTAACCCTGACCCTTATATTAACCCTAACACTCACTCTGACCTTTACAAGGTTCCTTATCTTGACCCTGACCCTAACACTAACCCTGACCCTAAAACTGACCCTGACGCGTAAGCAAATTCAAACCCTGAGGCAGACTCTAAGTTCGAACTTAGGACCGTTAGGTCTTGAGACCCTATAAGGCTTGAGATTCCTAGCTTAATCCCATCCCAAACCCGGACCCTGAGATGGTCTCATCCTGTGTGAGTCTTGCAACCAGCGTTCCATTGCCTTGAGAAGCTCTGCTAGTGTCTGTCTCCGACGGACTAGGCCCCGTCTCCGAAGGACTAGCCTCTATCTCCGACGGACTAGTCTCTGTCAACAACAGACTAGTCTTTGTCTCCTAAGATCACTAGTGGATTCAGAAATTTTTTTATTCAGTCGCGGCAATTCTCACAAGCATTTCTCTCGAAATGCTGCGAACTTTTAGCCTGTTCTCCTCTGGGCATGACGTTCACACACCTGTGGTTGTTTTTTGCAAAGTTTTGTGTAAATTATTTCTGCATATTTATCACGAAATTCTAATCTAAAGTCGATTTCAGCGAGTTTGTTTCTAATCCGTTCTTCGATAGTGCAAGTTAACTCCTGCCAGTCCCTCTTGGGGTTTAGACCTGGGCTGGGTATCAGTTCCAGTTGCCGTATCCACCCTCACCAGGCAGTGGTCGGACAGTGAAGTCTCTTCAACCCGAACGTCAACCACCATTCTTTCATTATTAGTAAAGAAGAGATCGAGGATATTGTGTTTCATTTTCGGCTACCGTATTTGCAGACCGAGCAAGTGTTCCGCAGCAAACTTCACTAGTTAGGCTGCCTGACTTCTGTCGAGGTCATTAACCTCGAAACCATCTGGGCTTGTCCAACGGTTACACTCCCCAAGTCCAGCCATATTAGTTTCTATCTCCTTGAAAGTCTTACTTTTTTTATTTTTATATTATTATAAATTATTCTCTGGGCAAGCAGGTGGTCTTTAGACTATGGCTACGCAAAGGTCGAGTGTTTATTGTACCCGGCCTCTACCCGCTTACCTAAACCTCTGCACGCTTTACCTAACCCCTGCACGTTGTACCCAACCCCTGCACGATGTACTCAACCCCTGCACGTTGTACTCAACCCCTGCAAAAACCGTTAGCTCAAATAAAAACTTTGGCCATCGTTGGTTTAGGACAAGAATCGTGTATCTACCTGTAAAATAATTAATCGAATAGCACATATGATAACTATTATATAATTATAAATTTCCAATTTACATAATAACATAATATGTCATATTAGTACTTAGCAATAAAAATATGGTCACCATGATTGATGACGACACTGAGAACCTGCTGCCCTCAGGAGGAGTCTGCCTCGTATGTCCACCGCCGGGGCATGACGCTGACGGAGGCCTACCAGGCCTACAGCGGCGACCAGGCCTGCCCCCGTCGACTGCTGCTCGCCTTGCAGGACATCACCGACGCCGCCACCGCCACCCACGAGGGGGACATGGGGGCCACACCCATGTGAGAAGGGAGGGGGAAAATGAAGCTGGTGGGAGTTTTGAGTTGCCACCCAAGCGGGGGAAATGGGGGCCACACCCATGTGAGAAGGGAGGGGGAAAATGAAGCTGGTGAGAGTTTTGGGTTGTCACCCACGCGGGGGACATAGGGTCTATGCCCATGTGAGAAGGGAGGGGGAAGTGAAGGGGGTCTGGTGGGACTTCTGAGTTGCCACCCATGAGGGGGATTTAGGGGCTATGCCCATGTGAAGGTGAAGGGGAAGAGGGGGAATGTCAAGATTATGGGAGGTGTTCTGTGTGAAATATGAGCTTTTGGAAGGCCGCTCAGTTTCGGGGTGAGTGGCAGCAGACCAGGTCTGCGGGTGTCGCTCTCTGCAGCTTCTGATTGGCTGCCTCACTCACCCGTCCCCCAATACGTCCTTTCACTCACCCGTCCCCAATACGTCCCCTCACTCACCCGTCCCCTAGAGTTTTATCACCCGTCCCCTCACCCGGAGCACCAGAGTTTTATCATCCCATTTGATTGGGTATATTCAAGCAATATGTGCGTTTGAAAGAAGGGTACGAAAATAAAACATTTTTAGCGAAATTATCAATGCGAAATGAAGATAGAAAAGGTCTATAATTTTCTTTCTGAATGAGTTATAATATACGCCTAACTTACGTCTCTGTTTAACATCGTGCAGTCTACAACGGCAAAGATTACGTTTAAGTTTTTAGCATCAAACACTGCATCACCCATTGATACACCCATCAAACACTGCATCACCCTTTGATATACCCATCAAACACTGCATCACCCTTTGATACACCCATCAAACACTGCATCACCCATTGATACACCCATCAAACACTGCATCACCCTTTGATACACCCATCAAACACTGCATCACCCATTGATACACCCAATAAACACTGCATCATTCAATGGTCTCTTCACCATTATCAGGCACAACTCCAACCACTGCCCCCACCAGGCATCACCACCATTACATCTCTCACCTCTGACACACACCACCACCACCCCTCACCACCTCAGCAGCACCACCACCACTCACCCTCCTCCCTATCAACACCGCTCACCCTCCTCCCTACCAACACCACTCACCCCCCTCACCCCCACCACCACTCACCTCCCTCACCCACTCCTCACCACTCACCCCCCTCACCCACTCCTCACCACTCACCCCTCACCCCCACTCACCCCCCTCCCCCCACCAGGTACAACTTCAACAACGAGCAGTTCTTAGCGGCGCAGGCGGTGCTGGAGGCGCGGTGGGGGCGGCTGGTGGGCGCCGTGCAGGCGCGGGACATGGCGGCGGCCCGCCTGCTGCTGGGCACGTCCCTGGCCGCCCTGCAGGACTTCTATGCCCACTCCAACTGGGTCGAGCTGGGCAGGAGCTCCATCCTGGAGGACCTGGGTCAGTCCAGTGCTAGGGTGGACATATATGCACCATACCCTGTCTGGGTGAGGGAAAATAGGCTCTATACCTTGTCTGGGTGGTAGTCTGGGCATCACACCGAGTCTGGGTTGGGGTCTGGGCATCACACTGAGTCTGGGGTAGTCTGGGCATCATACACTGTCGGGTTGGTAGTCTGGACATCACACTGAGTCTGAGGTAGTCTGGGCATCATACACTGTCGGGTTGGTAGTCTGGGCATCACACTGAGTCTGGGGTAGTCTGGGCATCATACACTGTCGGGTTGGTAGTCTGGGCATCACACTGAGTCTGGGGTAGTCTGGGCATCATACACTGTCGGGTTGGTAGTCTGGGCATCACACTGAGTCTGGGGTAGTCTGGGCATCATACACTGTCGGGTTGGTAGTCTGGGCATCACACTGAGTCTGGGGTAGTCTGGGCATCATACACTGTCGGGTTGGTAGTCTGGGCATCACACTGAGTCTGGGGTAGTCTGGGCATCATACACTGTCGGGTTGGTAGTCTGGGCATCACACTGAGTCTGGGGTAGTCTGGGCATCATACACTGTCGGGTTGGTAGTCTGGGCATCACACTGAGTCTGGGGTAGTCTGGGCATCATACACTGTCGGGTTGGTAGTCTGGGCATCACACTGAGTCTGGGGTAGTCTGGGCATCATACACTGTCGGGTTGGTAGTCTGGGCATCACACTGAGTCTGGGGTAGTCTGGGCATCATACACTGTCGGGTTGGTAGTCTGGGCATCACACTGAGTCTGGGGTAGTCTGGGCATCATACACTGTCGGGTTGGTAGTCTGGGCATCACACTGAGTCTGGGGTAGTCTGGGCATCATACACTGTCGGGTTGGTAGTCTGGGCATCACACTGAGTCTGGGGTAGTCTGGGCATCATACACTGTCGGGTTGGTAGTCTGGGCATCACACTGAGTCTGGGGTAGTCTGGGCATCATACACTGTCGGGTTGGTAGTCTGGGCATCACACTGAGTCTGGGGTAGTCTGGGCATCATACACTGTCGGGTTGGTAGTCTGGGCATCACACTGAGTCTGGGGTAGTCTGGGCATCATACACTGTCGGGTTGGTAGTCTGGGCATCACACTGAGTCTGGGGTAGTCTGGGCATCATACACTGTCGGGTTGGTAGTCTGGGCATCACACTGAGTCTGGGGTAGTCTGGGCATCATACACTGTCGGGTTGGTAGTCTGGGCATCACACTGAGTCTGGGGTAGTCTGGGCATCATACACTGTCGGGTTGGTAGTCTGGGCATCACACTGAGTCTGGGGTAGTCTGGGCATCATACACTGTCGGGTTGGTAGTCTGGGCATCACACTGAGTCTGGGGTAGTCTGGGCATCATACACTGTCGGGTTGGTAGTCTGGGCATCACACTGAGTCTGGGGTAGTCTGGGCATCATACACTGTCGGGTTGGTAGTCTGGGCATCACACTGAGTCTGGGGTAGTCTGGGCATCATACACTGTCGGGTTGGTAGTCTGGGCATCACACTGAGTCTGGGGTAGTCTGGGCATCATACACTGTCGGGTTGGTAGTCTGGGCATCACACTGAGTCTGGGGTAGTCTGGGCATCATACACTGTCGGGTTGGTAGTCTGGGCATCACACTGAGTCTGGGGTAGTCTGGGCATCATACACTGTCGGGTTGGTAGTCTGGGCATCACACTGAGTCTGGGGTAGTCTGGGCATCATACACTGTCGGGTTGGTAGTCTGGGCATCACACTGAGTCTGGGGTAGTCTGGGCATCATACACTGTCGGGTTGGTAGTCTGGGCATCACACTGAGTCTGGGGTAGTCTGGGCATCATACACTGTCGGGTTGGTAGTCTGGGCATCACACTGAGTCTGGGGTAGTCTGGGCATCATACACTGTCGGGTTGGTAGTCTGGGCATCACACTGAGTCTGGGGTAGTCTGGGCATCATACACTGTCGGGTTGGTAGTCTGGGCATCACACTGAGTCTGGGGTAGTCTGGGCATCATACACTGTCGGGTTGGTAGTCTGGGCATCACACTGAGTCTGGGGTAGTCTGGGCATCATACACTGTCGGGTTGGTAGTCTGGGCATCACACTGAGTCTGGGGTAGTCTGGGCATCATACACTGTCGGGTTGGTAGTCTGGGCATCACACTGAGTCTGGGGTAGTCTGGGCATCATACACTGTCGGGTTGGTAGTCTGGGCATCACACTGAGTCTGGGGTAGTCTGGGCATCATACACTGTCGGGTTGGTAGTCTGGGCATCACACTGAGTCTGGGGTAGTCTGGGCATCATACACTGTCGGGTTGGTAGTCTGGGCATCACACTGAGTCTGGGGTAGTCTGGGCATCATACACTGTCGGGTTGGTAGTCTGGGCATCACACTGAGTCTGGGGTAGTCTGGGCATCATACACTGTCGGGTTGGTAGTCTGGGCATCACACCTACTGTGTCTGGGGTAGTCTGGGTGCTCAATATCACACAAGGCAGAGGGATGCTATGACCCGTGTCATGTGTGGGGAGTAAAGGACCTGTTATTAACTTATTCCCCAGGGCTGCCAGGGGGGAAGCTCCCTGAGGTGGCGCGCCCTGAGGACGAGGCCTGCGTCAGCTGCCCTCAGGAGAAGACCTCGGTGAGTGATCCCCATGCTTACTTCCCCAGCGTTCCTCCTCAAGCCTTGCTTCCCCAGCCTTACTTCCCTAGGCTTGACCTTTTGCTTCACGTCCACGGCCTTTAATTCTGTACTTAAATTCATAGCCTTATTTTCTATTCACAGCCTCAACAGCCAATATTTGGACCTAATTTATGCAGACTTATTACTGCAGGGTTGTCCACCAGACTTATTACTGCAGGGTTGTCCCCCAGACTTATTACTGCAGGGTTGTCCACAGACTAATTGATGCAGGGTTGTCCACAGACTAATTGATGCAGGGTTGTCCACCAGACTTATTACTGCAGGGTTGTCCACCAGACTAATTAATGCAGGGTTGTCCACAGACTAATTGATGCAGGGTTGTCCACCAGACTTATTACTGCAGGGTTGTCCACCAGACTAATTAATGCAGGGTTGTCCACAGACTAATTGATGCAGGGTTGTCCACCAGACTTATTACTGCAGGGTTGTCCACCAGACTAATTAATGCAGGGTTGTCCACAGACTAATTGATGCAGGGTTGTCCACCAGACTTATTACTGCAGGGTTGTCCACCAGACTAATTACTTCAGGGTTTTCGGCCAGGCTAATTACTGCAGCATTTTACTCAGACTTTGATTTTAGTGCCGAAATAATAGTTTTTTTGTGATGACCACTTGTGATGACACACATGTGATGACCTACTTATGATGACCTACTTATGATGACCCACTCATGATGACCCACTCATGATGACCCACTCATGATGACCCATTTATGATGACCCACTCATGATGACCCACTTGTAATGACCCACTTGTGATGACAGGCAGGATGCACCACTCGCCTCGCCGACTCCCTCTTGACCGCGGGTTTGCTAACGTCAGACTACGTCGCTGCCACAGGACTCACGCCACTGACAGGTGTGTGGCATGACCGTGTGGCGTGAGCATATACACGAGGCCAATAGTACGGTAACATGACCGTGTGGCGTGCGCCTATACACGAGGACAATAGTACGGCAAATTGCGGCATTTAGTCTCTGAATGTTTTACTGGCCGCCATTACTTTCCCCGTTACCCCGACACGGCAGGGTGGCCCAGTGGTTACAGTTCAGAGTACCAAGATTGGCGCAGAGAGGCGCGGGTTTGATCCCAGCTCTGTGCGCCAGTTTCTGGTCAGACTTGGCAAGGAGGCCGGGCGGTTAAGCACAGCAGAATTGTAGCAGTGCGTTGCGAGTTCGAGACCGCAAAATGCTGTGAATGATCTGCGATGTTAAGAATCGGCAACAAGCCTACGGCCTAATAAAAGCTAAAACCGCTATTATTATTATTATTATTATTATTATTGATATTATTATTATTATTATCATTATTATTGTTATTTTTATTATTAGTATTATTATTATAATTATTATTATAATAATCACGTTTTGGATTACGTCTGGCAGGCAAGTGCGTGCTGCCACCCCGCCAGGATGGGGGAGATGCGCGAGTGGCAGGAGGCATCGGTAAGGACCTGCCATCAGCCTGCTTCAGCCCCCGCCCCGACCTGCACGACCGCGCCGCGCAGCTCGCCGCGCAGGTCGCCTTAATAGGACAAACTTTTATTTAAATAATTAATTAATTTAATGATGAAATAATTTAAGCATATATTATAAATGAGGGATAAATTGGTATCAGATTGATATAAGATGGTAAATGCTGGAATAATATAATAGTGTCTTGTTAACGTTGAGCAAAATTAATGTGTAGAAATATGATGTTTTTGATAAAGAAAATATTCAAGGTTTTAAATGAATCGAATTCATGCTGAGTCAAACATAGCTGGCAATGTTAATCACAAATCTCACGTTGTTGGAGAAGTGAGTCACAGAAGTCACTACCCAAACAAAATTTAGAGTCGCCCCAGCTTCTGGTAATCCAAATCAGAAGCTGCCGCGTCTGTAAATTTTTACTGAGTAAACACCCTGCCGCCCGGTGCAGGCTACGACCCACTACCTGACGGTGCTGCGGCATGCGGTTGGTAACGACCTCTTCAGCCAGCTGATGGCCACCACACCGCGGCCAGCGCTGGCCATCGTGGCAGATGGACGGGCGGACTACACTCAAGTTGTCCTCAACATCCTGCAGAGCGGACAATGGACACGGCAGAACAACAAGGAGCCTGAGGAATATATCCTTGTGACCTACTCCGAGACACGTGAGTCATACCTCCTTGTGACCTACTCCGAGACACGTGAGTCATACCTCCTTGCGACCTACTCCGACACACGTGAGTCACACCTCCTTGTGACCTACTCCGACACACGTGAGTCATACCTCCTTGTGACCTACTCCGACACACGTGAGTCATACCTCCTTGTGACCTACTCCGACACACGTGAGTCATACCTCCTTGTGACCTACTCCGACACACGTGAGTCATACCTCCTTGTGACCTACTCCGACACACGTGAGTCATACCTCCTAGGGACCCGGTAATACCTTCCGGTATTCATAAATGTTTTTAAACATTTAAATAAATAAATTGAATTTAAATTGAAATAATAAATAAAATGATAAGTTGAGAAACAATAGGAAATATATTATGAAGTAAATTATAGTGCATATGTGCGAGGTATATATATTATTGTATTGTTGAGAAATATATATATTAATGTTGCAGTGCGGGGGGGCGGCGTGCTGCGGTCGACGTCGCGGGGGGCGCTCGTGGAGGCCCTCAAGACGGCCGCCCTCGACCCCTCGCCTGCGCTGAGGGTGGGTGAGGGGAGGGGTGGTGGTGGTGGTAATGGTGGTCGTGGTGATGGTTGTGCGGTGATGATTGTGGTGATGAAGTTTGTGATGATGGTTATTTTGACAGTCCTAGTGATGACGGAAGGGTTGGTGCATCTGGTGACATGCAACAGGCGGTGAGCCTGCCGCTGGTGAGGCTGCCAGCGGTGAAAAGTTTTGTGTGTATCAGTGGGAGGTCTGGTAGCCTAGATACCACACAACTCTAACTTCCCCATTCCTACTGACTAATTAATTGACTAATTAATTACTGACTAATTCTTCCACTGACTAATTCTTTCACTGACTAATTCTTCCCGATCTTCACCCAGAACCTTAACTCCCGAACCCATCTTCGCCTACCACCTTAGCTCCCCCACCCATCCTCACCCATCCCCCACCTCCCCCAGGACCCACTCTCCGCCCTTCACATGGCGGCACACGCGGCGCCCCCCGACGCGGAGGTGTTCATGTTGACCAGCGACGCGTCCCTGGGGGCGACCACCACAGGGGGCGCCACGCCCCTGCACACGCAGGAGCTGCTGCTGCGCAAGAGGATCAAGGTGGGCGACCGCTTCAGGGCCTGTCATGCCTTACGATTACAATGGATAACATTTTTCCAATTCACAGTGAAGATCTTACTATGGATTAAATTTTTTCTATTCACAGTGAAGTTCAATCACATTCACATTCTCATTCATGGATCTTGATGGTGAAAATTAATGTGCATGCAAATGAAGTATCAAATAGATCCTCGCTTAAATGTTCGATAGTTAAAGTACTGAGCGTATAAATACAATGAAATTTATAACACTGTTTAAAGTAATAATACAATCGGTCATCTTCGCCAAGGACAAAAAACTTCGTTAAAAATGATATATCATGAAAACTTGTCTCATGAGACCAAATATCCATATTGTTTATAAGGATCGTGAGAAGACTTCGTTTAGTTTAAGATAGGATCCGTATATCAGGACGTTATAAAATTTCAAGAATGTTATAAAAACTAGAAACTATTGTTAGGATCGCATGAGAACTTTGAGGATCATGAAGAAAGTTAACACTATTTCTGAAGTTCTATACTTTAGAAATACTTTTCACTCACCCATCAACTTTCTTATCATAACCGCAAGAAGACTTATCTTATGAAGACAGCATGAGAACTTTAAGGATCATAGGAAGACTTATAATTATTGAAACCGCATGAAAACTTCTCAAATGAAGACTGAGTGAAAACTTAGCTTACCTGAACGTTGTGAAAACTTTGCTCGTAAAGATGGCATAACACAGTTCGGGTTACTAACTTAATTTCTGATCATTGTTCCATTGAAAACCATTCATTGTACGAATGCTTTACCGCTAGCGATTATTCTTTATAGAGCAGAGCAATGGCGGGAAACTTCTTCTAGCACAGTAAATGAAACTAAATAATAGGAAAACTTCATTTAATCCATATGTGATTTGTAGAACGTAAAAGCCTTTGATGAACATATTTACATAGATTAAAATCAAATTACTGAAGCACGATCAACACTGGCGATTTCATGTAAGGCGTTGGCGTTCAAAATAACCTGTAGATATACATATATTATAGATGAACTTTTTCAGAAAACCGTGATCTCTAATATTATGGGGTACACTTGTTAAATGAAGATTCTGGTTCATTATTTCGAAATTGATGACACAAAATGATTTAACTTAAAACCATAATATAAGGGTTTTCCATGGTTTTAAAACTATAATATACGCGTTTTTTATTAAATGAATTATCATGCAAGAATATTTGTTGTATAGCCAAAATAATTTCATATTCCACTAATATCTTAGAGTCCCTGGAATAAGAAGCAAGGAACGTTGAGGCTGAGATCAGACTCAAAACCCAGTCCAGTGCTCCATGATCCATGCTTCCACTGCGTGAATTGAAATTGAAGGAACGCAAAACGATTCACTCTGGGAGCTTAGAAGTGAGAGCCATTAAAATTCCACGATCATTTTTTTAATAATCCACTTCTTTGTCTAGGTAACACCGCTGATGGTTGGCCAGATTGCACAACGGGTTCCACGTGCGGCGGTTGCCCTGGGCTCGCTCCAGCTGAACGGATCTGCAGAGCACGAAGCATCACTGATCATATGGGGTGGTAACAACTCCAGCCATGTTCCCCAGCCGTTTGATGTTGACAAGGAGAAGCTACAGATGTTGTCGGCAAGTCGCGTCTACCAGGTCCTGGCAACGCTGTCTCTGGTCACAGGAAGTCACATCATTGACGTGCCTTACGAAACTCTGAAAGAGGTTTCCACGAATAGCGACTACAACCGCTATTACGGGAACTCTTACACCGAGCTTACCCTCACTACTGTAGTGCTGGCTCTATTCAATCAAGGGGTGAGTCTTAGTTGGATTTTTATTATGAGTTTACAAAAAAGTTACACTATTGCTGTTCATTCATGTCTCTGAAAGATGAGCTGATGGATTTAGCCTTTTAGTATACTTACAGTTGAGCGAAAATGTTCCTGTTTGTGGAAGAGTTCAAACGGGGAAAGTAAATAAAATTCTTACGTAATTCAAATTATTAATATATGGACGTAATGTAAAAATTTTATCTGGCGCCATAAATAGACCCATAATAGCACATAATGTCACATGAACTAGATTTAGAATAATGACCTCTCCCTTTTCTCCAACTCTCACTCACCTGCCTATCTCAAAACTCCCAATTAAAAAATGTACTGCCGGCATAACGGTTCTACTGAGCTTTCTGCCGGGCATTCCATGTGACAGCGCCTATCGGGGATATTGGAAGAATTTCTCTTTTTATTTGTGGAGAGATCTTAGCTGAAGGGCAATCTTGGTGATATTGGCCGAAATATTAGAGCAGTGAGATGCGGGTTCGAGGCTGAGATAGCTGTTAGATATTCTAGTCGATGCCGACGAGGTTGTAAGGTGGTGATTGACAGCAGGACTGACTCAGGATGTTGCGATATTGAAACCGATGCCAGCAGAGAAGTTCTTCAATTTATAGAACCGGCCATTAGTCAACGTCAGCATCCCAATATTATTTATTATTATCGTGCTGTTTATCTATCATTGACCCTGGACCTGTGAATGATGAATTTGAAATTGTTCATTACAAAATTTTGCATGTTCTCGACGCATCATTGATATAGATGCTTACGAAGTTTAACAGAAACTAAAATATAATGAATCTTGCATGCATGAATGTTCCTCCTGTCTTATAGTGTCACATTTTACGCAATCTGAGCAGGTGCTGCTCCATCGTGACATCGCAGTGTCGACCTCAAAGACCATCAGCATCCCCCTGGACAACAGCATCTCAGGCTGCAACATCGCTCTCTACGGCGCCTTTGTCTCGGCGACCATGACGGCTGATGGAGGTGCGTGTTGTACAATGACGGCTGATGGAGGTGCGGGTAGTACCATGACGGTTGATGGAGGTGCGTGTAGTACCATGACGGACCATGACGGTTGATGGAGGTGCGGGTAGTACCATGACGGGTGATGGAGGTGCGTGTAGTACCATGACGGTTGATGGAGGTGCGTGTAGTACCATGACGGCTGATGGAGGTGCGTGTAGTACCATGGCGGCTGATGGAGGTACGTGTATTACCAAGACGAATGATGGAGGTGCGTGTAGTACCATGACAGATGATAGAGGTGCGTGTAGTACCATGACAGATGATGGAGACGCGTGTAGTACCATGATGGATGATGGAGGTGCGTGTAGTACCATGACGGATGATGGAGGTGCGTGTAGTACCATGACGGGTGATGGAGGTGCGTGTAGTACCATGACGGGTGATGGAGGTGCGTGTATAATACCGACGCTCACTATGCACTAAACCGCACTCCAAACGCCCTACTTCATACCGCTTGTAATAAATCTCTCTTCCGTGGGGCGGAAAAATCTCTCGTGAGACGAATCTCTCTTTAATGGCGTGGAATAATCTCGTGTGTGACGAATCTCTCTTTAATGGCGTGGAAAAATCTCTTGTGAGACGAATCTCTCTTTAATGGCGTGGAAAAATCTCTTGTGAGACGAATCTCTCTTTATGAAAAATCTCCTGTGAGACGAATCTCTCTTTAATGGCGTGGAAAAATCTCTTGTGAGACAAATCTCTCTTTAATGGCGTGGAAAAATCTCTTGTGAGACGATTCTCTCTTTAATGGCGTGGAAAAATCTCTTGTGAGACGATTCTCTCTTTAATGATGTAGAATAATCTATTGTGGGACGAATATCTTCTTCGTGGGTGGACTGATCTCGTTGCGATGGATAGACGTGAAGTTTGCCTCGACTGACTTCCATGAGGTTGTTAAATTCCATGGCGCACCTGAGCAAAACTGAAGTATAGCTGTAATATGAAGACGCCTTAATATTGGAGAAGGAAATTGAAGCTTATCACTAATGCAAAGACGCGTCCATGAGAAAGAATTGTTGAACAGGAAGTAGAATGGATGGGTGAATGAGGTTATATAACTTGAGATTAAATGGACTCGGTAATTTCGCTAAATGAGAGTAATAAATACTGCTGACCGTGTGTAGGTTTGAGTGCGCACAATGTTTACAATGCAGTGCTGCTAGAATTAAGTATAATGAAAATTTGCTAAGATAGTTTTGTTACGTTTGAATCATGATATTCATTGAAATTTTTATTGTGCCAATTGCCTCTTAATATACAGTATTAATAATTAATCATCTTCTAGGCTCTGCCGTCGGACTGCTGACTCAAAGAGCCCCAGCTATCCCCAGCATGTCCAAGGTGAGGATGTTTTCAATGCTATTCCTATCTGTAGTCACAGGATTAACGCTATTCCTACCTGCAGATGCGGGATCAACGCAATTCCTACCTGCAGGTAACATATTTTCAGACGTCGCATTTTAGGTCGAAGAAAATGCCGGGCAGGCCCCATGTATAGTGTATACCGTTAACTGATCTGTATAGTTCGAGCAGGCTCCATGCATACGGTTGTTATTCATCAACTCTCACCGAAATGTCAAATTTCGACATGTGCAAATGAAGGGAATGAGATATGTGGGATGAACTCGTGTGCCGAACTGGGGATAAATTGACACGTCGCGACAGTGGGGATTAATAGGAAGGCCGCGATAAATGTTTCACTGGCAGAGGGATAAATTAATACGTCACGGCAATGGGGATAGATAAATGTTTCACGGCGAAGGATTTATTAGTACTTCTCGGTAGTGGGGATAAACTAAGCTAGCAGATAACCACGCATCGCAGTGGATGCTGGCCGATCACTTGCTGTATCGCGGGCCTCGTGCCTTAGACTTCTCCGGAAAATTTCATTTTATTAAATTTCAGTTACAACGCGGGTAAGTACTTTCATAATTTCTTAATAAACTCATCGACTCGCAAGAAATTTAATCAACTTGAAAATAAGATAAAAAAATGTCTATTTCATGCCGAAGTTATTAATATCATGGACATGTATGCACAGACTGACGTAGATCGCACGTTCAAGTACGTCAGCGTACCAAAAGGATCCAAGAAGCTAACGTTGACGTACCGTCCTGTTGACGTGGCCTCTGTCATCGTCACTGCGGCGGCAACAACGGATCTCATCCCTGCGTTCTACCGAGCTGACGTAGACAGCATTTACCCCTCCCTGCAACCTCTCCCCCAACCCCCCAGCGCTGGTTAGTAGACTGGGAACGTGTTAGCCAAGTTGGTGACTGGATTTATGTTATGAGTCTTTGAAGATAATAGTCAAGTCAAGTGTCGTTAGAAACGGGGAATTAAAACTAAATTTTAATGACATCGGCATGTACGCAGTTGTGAACAGAACTTTAAATAAACCAGGAATACATTTTACAATAATAAAACTGCTCACATGACTCAAGGTATGGACCAATTTCTTGGCGTGACTGTGACTGCCGTCGACACGTCCAGTCAACGGCACGTGGTCTCCGTAGACTTGGCGCCGCTCAGAAGCCCAGACTCCGCCCACGCCCTACTGCTGCCAACGATGTCACCCAGACTTAACACTTACGTCAGACTCGACGACTCTAGTGCGCTTCCTCGGTCGCCATTTAGCGTCATCTACAGAGCACAGGATTCTGACGGTGAGGCATCAAATTGTGACAAAAAGCTGTTACTAAAATAAAGTTGAGAAATGTTATAAGCAGTAGTTTGTTAGAAGTTGACACGTGGCATCAGTAATGTTGAACCATTGAGGGAATATAGTCAAAATAATTTTTGAGTTTTTTTTTGCATAAATGTCTTTAAAAACGAATTAAGCGTAGGTATTTAAAAACTAATTTATTGAATTAATATGTGTTCCATTGTATTCATGCTCAAAAACAATCAATTTAACAAATGTAATAATAAAAACCTCCTGAATAAAACAAATAAACCCTCCTGTCTTGCTGATCACTTATCTACACGATGAGTAAATTTTCGTAGACCACATATACTAACAAAGCAATCCAGACAGCACATTCGATAATTCAGAAACCATTTAATAAATATTCTGCCCTGGTAGATCGTTTCGTTACCTCAAAGTAATTATTCAGCTCGAATAGGTCGTTCAGGTACCAAAGAGTAATCATTCTGCCGAGCACATATTTCATTTACAAAAGAATAATAACTATGCTAAAGCAGGTCGTTCTGTTGCCACGTAGTAATTATTTCTCTCGTTTAGGTCGTGAACTGGTATGAACTGGTACGCGTGAGTCAGCAACTTCAGTTGCTATGCGGGTCTCGCCTTAGCCTGAGCAGCGGTCATGAGGTGGGGGGGAGGCGGGGCACCAGACTTGCGGTTCCCTTCAGCCTCACCAACACCGCTGACGCTGAAGAGACTTTTGTCCTCACCGCTTCAGACGCCCTGGGATTCCCTGTTGCCTTACCTCGTAGAAGGTAATTCGAAAATATTTTCATTAACCAAATTGAGTAATTTTTATATTTATAATGAAGCAATAAAGCAAAAAATGCACAAATATTTGGTAAGATTCTTCTTGGACTTTTTCATGTTACCTCCAAATGAAGTGGATACTTGTTAGAGTGCAAACATTAATCTGTAGTTCAATTATGATTAAAATGAGGTTAAAAGTTTTTAGGATAATTATACTTGGTTACAACTCCAGAATTTGATGAAGAATAATCCCAAAATCGGTGAGACGCACATAACGTCGATTTTCTTTCTTGCAGCGTGCGAGTGAAGGGGAAGGAGACGGCTGGTTTGGTGCTCTACGTTTACATACCATTAAGGGTGATCGCCTTCCAGCAATTTGGAAAAGTTTCGGTTCTTGGAGCTGATGTTTATGACTTCGGGAACATCAAACCGATTACAAACTCTCTTGTGCTCACAGCGACGTCTGCCAAGGGACAGTCTAGCAGCGTCGTGGCTCACGTGATTGCAACCAGCGACGTAAGAGACGAAGAAGACCTCGACGTCCTTGAGAACGTGACGCACATAAAAGCTGGACGAGTCGTAATACTCGACGACTCCGTTTCTTCCTTGACACAAGGTCGACTTATCCGACGACAGACGGACGAACAAAGTCACAACATTAGGAAAAGTCGACGAAGAGTCCATAAGCGTCATGCGAGGCGCGGCCGTGACACGGCGACAAGGTCACCAGAAGGAGTAGAAATTCCCCTAGATTACTTTGGACAAGGCGCACAAATTTCAAGTATTGACTCGGCGATAAAGCAGCAAGAAGATGACTCAAAGGAAACCCACGAACTGCTCGACCTTAAAAACTCTCCTTCTTACCAGATATTGGGAGTGTCTTATGGTCAAAACGATCCTTTACCCATCTTCTTCGTTACTAACCAGCATGTTTCCAAAACCAGGTGGGCCATATTTTTCAAACATTAGCCTATTCTTTCACAACCTATATTAGAATATAATTTCAACTTGATTTCAGTAAAATATCTACTAACTGCGTTGTAAATTTCCATTTCCTCTCGTTTTCATTTTGTATAAAGATAAAACATGGAGTTTCCCGAAAGCATTAACAAAATTTGTTTTATCAATTCATAAATCACCAAACATTGTTTCCCATTAACTCAAATGATTTTGTGTCTAACGCTGATTGCTTGCTTTACTAACTCCACCCAGAATGAAGCGATATGTTGATACTAACCTTTGGACCCACCGGACTAACCCTGACTCCTACCAACCCGAGGGCTGGCGCCCACCCATCACGGAGGGCTTCTATGGAGCAGCTGCTAGAGTAGGAGACGAAGCGACTTATTTAGAGACTATGCAATAGATTGTATATGATAAATTATGTTCCAGGTCTCTTCTATGTTCTTTCTCATCTTTTTCAACGTTGTCCGTCAACAACAATGAAACTAAATTACAGAAAACAATTGACTACATTGGAGTCTATTTTAGCCCTTTGTCAGCTGAAGATAACCAGGTCGCTTAAGAATCAATATCGTTCATGATTTCAACGCTGTTGGAACAAAAGGCTATAAAACAACCTTCCTCAAATGGTTAACACATGCTTATTCTTTTGGTCCAGATGGCGGACACGACTCCACCCACAATTCAGACTACGAACTACGTACCCTGTGGAGATAATGTCCAGAGCAACACATGCGCGCAGAGCCGCTGGAGCGCTAACGTTGTCATCACAGACTCTGGCATTGGTTGGTTTTGACGATTTGCTTTTGTTTGTACTGAAGAACAGATCTTTAAGTTTGTTTGTACTGAACAACAGATCTTTAAGTAATTATGCGAACAGTTCAAGGCATCAGGCATGAGAAATTTAGGACGGCAAAATTTGTTAATAGCAGTCGAACGATGCCTCCACACTGTCAAGTAGGTAATTTTTGGTCCGTCCAACCGGCCTTTTGAAGCATTGGCTAGAACCCTTGCTTTCTAAATATCAACCAAACAACGTTGGGCGTGACTTTTACCATGCCAAAGGCCTCTACCAACTGCCCACTGCTTCTTTGGATTATATCAAATTTACTCATTAAATCTAAGCATCGTCTACTACTGTGTGTTTGCTTGTGAAATATTTATGATCAAATCGAAGTTCCTTTGTCATTTACTAGATGCTAACATCATAAACCTAACAATTAATGATGCCAGCATGTTAACATGTTGAATAATGTTATCATATAAACAATCACAATTTTCCTCGGCCAGGCCTACAAACCGTGACTACCACTCCTCCGACCAACGTCCCCTACTTCAAGCCCATGACTCCGCAAGTGACCCTGCAATACGCAGCCTCCTGCTGTGACCCCCTGCTTATGGTCTACGCCACGGACGCGCAAGGCAACACTGCTCAGCAGGCCATCGGAAAATCGGGTGAGAAACTGAAGTATGTTAAAAATAGGTAAGTAAGGATCAAAAATGCTAGTGGGGGAAAGGGACCAGTTGGTTTAAAAAGATATGCGTCAACTGAATGGATGTGCGAGTGGTCTCGTTGATAATTTCAGCTGATATTAAAGTTAAAGTCATTTTTAAATCACGCAGATACGAAAATTAGTAACGTGATACGCAATTACAGGTACTACTGTTCTGGGAGCCGGCGCCATTACGGGTATCGTGATTGGGGTGATCGTGCTGCTGGCGATCATCATTGTCGTGGCGCTGCTGCTCGTCAGGCGGTCGCGCTCTAAGCAAGATGTGGAACTCAGGTCACAGAGAGTCAGGACCACAGAGCACTAGGAACTCGCGGACTCCCAAGTTACGGTGAACAGCCAGCCTTCACAGAAGCCAGACCACAACAAAACCCCGAATAAAAAAACCCAAGACACTCGAAATAAAGTATCACGCAATAAATACATTGACGAAGGTCTGAAGTTACCTGATGCCGACGAACAGCGCCTAGATCTTTGTGACACCAAAGTAAATAATTTTCAAACAGAACAAAGTGAGATTGATGAAGAATTTCCAGAACCGCCGGATTTTTCAATCTTGGAGTTTGCAGCTGACCAGCCCCTAAAAGTTCCAACTCGAACTGCTCCCGGACCAAGTTCAAGAGTCGCTTCGTTGGACTTTTCATCATCCACTGATTTAAGGTCAGGAAGTATCATGACCGATGATGCGGTGGATGGCTTCCTTACTATGAGCCAGGAACACATTGAGAAGTACGAAGCTTTATTTCATCGCTTAGCATCAAGTGATTCATCTTCTAGCAGCGAAAATTATACATCCGGAACAGCTATAAGAGGAATGCCGGGAGATCTTACGAATGCTTCTCATACCTCAAACCCTAAATCCAAATACCCGGCGTCATCTAGTTTTGTAGGCGGCAGTGATTTGGGAGTCCACGGAGACGCAATAGATATAAGGGAAAGTAATTTAAAGAGTAATAATTATAAGGAATATTATGATAAGTTACCAAGTGATGTTAGTGATGCATCTTTCAAGACTTACACACTTACTGAAGGTAATTTGTCGCACCTTGAGAGCGTCGTGGGATCTTACGATGGATCTCAAAACGAACCTCATACACCATCTTTTCTTTCAAAAACACAACTTCGTGACCAAGTGATCGTTAAGCGCCTGCGCGACATTGACCCTAAACACAAAAATCTTGAGAACTACAGGCTTGACGCACCGAGCTCCGTGCAGGATGAAAGTCATGGAGTGTCAGATCAGATCTCTTCGGTGAGATCCTCTACCGCGGACAGCTGGAATGACGGAGAAAATCGAGAGTCATCAGTAATGCCCGGAGGCTCCACTCAGTCAATTCTGGTGGGGTACTGGAAAGTCAAGCAGAGGGGCATAAACGTTGACATAAAAAAGACATACACGTCGCCTTAGCTCGTAGACTCTGTAGGTATTTATTCTAATGTTTTACTCACGGAATGCACTGAAAGATGTAGTTTGTTCTCTAATTTGTTGAGAGTTCTTGACTGCTAATTAAATGAACCAACTACTGTAGATTAATGTTCATTATAGCTTTGAATGTTTGCCTTTGAACCTGTCACTCGTAGAAACAAATGATATTGACGCTACACTTGATCATCATATTCTAATTGATTGAATATGCTTTTATAAATAAAATTTGTATGCCCGGCTTCATATTTACCTTCCTAGCTGATGTTCCGTTGCCTGCTTTCATGGCATCACCGACGTCCATCCTGAGTCTGGAACATGACTGCAAAAAATATTTTTGTTTCTTATTTTTTGAAACTTCCTCATTTCTTGATATTAAATTTTTATTACAACGCTTCTCTTTAACTTCACTTCTTGTCGTTTATTTGTTTGTCTGTCTGCTACAAATCTTATAATCGACATTTAACACACTTCTACCTGACCAAGTGATCCGAAATTTTGCACAATTGCGTGAAGTCAGAAACAATGCATGAATCAATTTACAGAATAAATTATTTTAATAACAGAGAAAAATATTATATATTAAAAAAGTAAAAAATAATTTTTTAATATATAAAAATAAGATAATAAATTAATTGTACATGTTGTGAACGCAACATTTGTCTTAGGATAGTAGCTTAGTCCTGCGGTCTTGCGAAACCATTTCGTTCATTCGTCATGTGTCAGCTGCGTAGTAAACACCAAACTAAGATCAGGAACGAATTTTGTTGAGCTTTTTACTTCTCTTGTTTGAACATTTCTTTGTTGTTTAGAAAGCCTTTGAAATTACGTCAATATTTTCGAATATTGTTTATAAGTTCAATAACCATTTTTCTTTGAATAAATTTTGTATTTGTACCGTTTTCTTTCCAGAAACCGTGTCTTCTGGGAATATAAAGCACAAATGAACCCATGGATGCACGCGTATTCAATTAA